AAGTATCAATGGGAAATTTAGGGTTAATCTTATTTAAAGCAACATTCTTTAGGCAGATTTAAATCCAGTCTATTTTGCAGTGGGAAAATATAATTCTCTTAAAACTTCAACTTTTCTGGTCAGCTGCAATGGGCAGCCATTTGACCTTCCACCATTCGTAACTGTGGTGTTTCCCAGCCAAATGGATGTGTAGTAGTTGCATTGGACACATGCCTGCCAAATTCCAGACAGAATGGAGAAAATACTTCTGGTTTACAGGTTGCTAAAAGGAGGACATCCATTATATTATTCATTACTTATTGTAGTGGAAGGTTTTACAAATCTTATGCTGATTGTAAATTTGATATTTTGCATCTAAATTGTATAAATCTTACAGACATTATATTAAAACATCAAAGCTGAAAGCTTTCTGTTTGCAAAATGGACAGAAACCATGACTTTGGAGATTCTTTTTTTTTTTTAAACAAAATTTTATTCATTTTTTAAAATAAACAAATATACAATTATGGCATACATTAATAATAAAAAAAACAAACTAAGATGCTCAGCAGCCTCTCAGGACCACATTCACCCTCTCTTCTACCTACTTCCCTCTCCTTCCTTCCTTCCTCTCCACCCTCTCAACAACTCTACCCTATACATCCCCCCTCCTTCTCTCCTCCTCTTTCAGATGTGGTCCCGAAGGCCGACTGAGCCTCCTTTCTTCATATCTCACTACCAGTCTAGTATACCAAAATATAACTATACCTAAGAAATCCCTTTCCCCCCTCCCCCCTAGACTTCCCGGAACCAAATACAGGATTAAAGCACCTCCCATTCCATATCTAAATTGCAATTTAACTAAACAAACATAATACAATCAATATTTACGTACTTTAACTCTAGTAAAACCAACATTTAAGCTATAAACTAAGATACATACAAAACAATTTTTAAAGATCTAAATATTATGTGTAAAACAACTTGTATAAATTTTCTCTTAAATTTTTCACTTAATTTTTCCCTTCACTTTCTTCACTATACGTACAAAACAATTTTTATAAATTTTCTCTTAAATTTCTTATAATCATTCAAATATCTTAAACCCATTAAATACAATCTTTAACTTCTTAAAACAATATAATTCCTTTAAAATAATATAATTATATATCATTAATAATCTAATCTCCTATAACAAATTCAAACCATAATATTACTAATTTCCAAATCAAAAACCTAAATAAAACATTTATTAATCTGTCCCAACTCTTCCATTTTACATCTCCCCCCCGGCTTCCCATTCTTTTTCACATCACAGATACCAAATTAACCGTCGAAGTCGATGAGTCTTCTGCCTTTTACATTTTATAACGTGTCCGAAATTTCTGCAGGTAGTAAGCCTGTAAGCTTCTTCCAAAAACACAAACAGCAACATCTTCAGCTGGTTTTCTCTGATGCACGACCCGTAAATTAATTCTATATAAACTTTTTTTTCTCAAAATTCCACCAGGGAGGTACACCAGGACCATAGCCAAATCTGTTACAACTTCCTTTCCCAGCTTTCCAAGCTTATCATCATCATTTTGGGGTATTTCCATATCATCTTCTTCAACCTCTTCACATAATTTATCCACCCGTTGCTCTGAACAATCTGGAACTATAAACCTCTGGAGAGCAAATGCCGCAGTTTCATATGATTCTTCCAATTTCTTAACCCAGAGATCTTTAACTTCCACACTATATTGCTTAACTGCTTGCATCAAAACATCCTGTAAGTTATTTATAAACGAAGATAGAGGCATTTTCAATAGATTTCACTCAGCAACCAGAAGAAAAGTAAGAAAATTTTTTCTTCTTTCTTTCTCAGTTCCGCAGCCATTTTAAAACCATTCTCCAAACTTCTTTAAGTACCACTTCAGTAATCCAAAAGAGTAAGAATATAAATATCACCAACCAATAGGCATTACAAATTCGTTGCAACTAAAACTTTCCAAAGCCGAAGGTAAAAAGAAATCTTTAAAATCCTTTAAAATGTCTCATTCCACAACCAAAAGAAGAGTGAACGTTTTCCTTTTGTTGCAAAGAAAGAACGCTTCCGCGGCCATTTTCTTCTCACTTTCACTCTTAAGAAATAGCAAAAATCCCAGTAAAATCTTGAGTTAAAGTCACAATGTAACTGAAGTAAAGATCCCCTGTCTGGTTCCGTCTGTTTAAAAGTAACTCACCAGCAAATACAAGGTAAGAGCAGTGGCAGTGACATCTAGCTTCGCTCCAAAGAGCGAAGGCACTCCGAGCTGCGGAGAGAGGTCCGGACTCCGGGGGAGTTCATCCCCTTCATCCCCCCAGGATCGTTCCTGGGGGGACTAGGGAACTCAACCCCTATCCAGACCGAACTCACTTTCTCCCCTTCACCCGGGGAGAAAGTTCCGAGCCGCAAAACAGCTGATCCGCGCTGTTTTGACAGCTTTGACGCAGTCCCGGGCGGGAGGCTAAGCAAAAAGCCTCCATCGGCGAAGCCTCGCCACCGGAGATTCTTAATAAAAAATGCATACTTACAATATAATAAGTAGTGCTGTAAAACATAGCCAATATTATAATGAGATGTAATTATTGACCAGGAGAAAGTTTAAGCAGCTGGCAACCAAAACTAGAAATTTTATCAAACCTAGCATGGCAAAAAATAATATCATCTGCTCTTTATTTTTAAGATTAGTGCTATATTTTAAAAAATAAAACTAATTGAAGTATGTTTAGTTAGGATTTAGATTTCTAAAGCAAATTTATGCTCATCAGATAAGATTTTGATCTTCAAAATAATTTCTTTGATCTGAGAACAAATCTCAGTACTTCAGTGAAAGTTGAGCCCTTTGTGGTTGAACTTATTGCTCAGATGCAGATGATTATGCATTTTAAGTTTAATTTTAAAAGTTGTTTTGATAATATAAGAATCATTTTATCATTTATGTATATGTAAGTTTAGGATTATAGATTTTTATCTGTGCATTAATTGGAATTGGAATTGTCACCTCTATACCATTGCTGAAAAAGCAGTCTGATTTTATCCCAAAGCCTTTCTAAATTTATTGAGATCAAATAGATAAATCACTACCAAATCTTTTGAAAGTATATTGATGCTAATACAGCGGTTCTCAACCTATGGGTCGCGACCCCATTTGGGGTCGATCGACCATTTCACGGGGGTCACCAAGCAAGGCTGCCCGCCATTTTTCCCCCTTTTCTGGCGGGTGCCTTACCTCCCTTGGGCTGGGCCCAGCTGGTGGTTGGCCTGCTCCGTCTCTGCCGCTTGCCAGCTACCCCTCGGCCGGCGCAGGGGGCGGAACCACGCATGCACGGCGCTCCCGGGCAGGGAAAGTCCTTGACTTACGACCAGTTGGGTAGTCCTCGACTTACGACGGTTTAGTCCTCGACTTACGACCAGTTTAGTCCTCAACTTACGACCGGTTGGGGGTCGCGGCATTAAAAAGGTTGAGAACCACTGTGCTAATACATGATTAGAAATAACTCTGTTTGGGTTCTTTGTAGTGCTGTTATTCAGTTGTTCTTGTGGGAGAACCTCGAATGAGCCACTCCTTTATAACAAATGAAGCTGGATTCTTTCTCTTTAAGTTTAATGGCATCTTCCAAGAGCAAATCTATTATGACCTTAATTTTCTCTGAAATGTTAAGCAGTGCCTATAATTTTTATTTAATAATAATAGAAAATCAATTCATAATTTTCATACGGGCACCACATGTATCATGTATTGTGGTTTGTTGCTACTTAATTTGGTGAATTTGGGATATGGTAATTTTAGTTTCAGGCATTGAACCTTTCCATATGAGGACTTAAAAAAAACATGGCATGTGACATTTGAAATACCTGTCTTCTATTTTATTAATATTCACAGCAGTAAGAATTAAAGATGACTTGTGACATTATAAGTAGGTACAGCAGCAGCTGAATTGACAAAGTAATTTCTCTTGTGCTGATTTTCCTTTCTCTTAGCATATGAAGTTAGATTTTATTATTGTACAATAGATTTCATCACCTGGCATGCTACATGATATATTGTTTCTGTTTCCCTAAAGAGTTGCAAATAAAAGACTTTTTTTAAAATTCAGAAGATTTGCTTTGAATTTTGATGTATCAAGATATTGAAGGAATGTTTTCTTACAGAAAATGTAATTGTGTCATAAAATGATAGCTACATCTTAGTCTACTTGATATTGATCAAGATTTTGTACTTCATAGTAATGTTTTGTCTTGCTATATCAAGGGAATATGCATATTTCTGTGGAATATCCAGTTTTATAGGATAGGCAGTTCCCATAAGTTACATACTGCTAGTAGTGCATATACTGTACCAGATAGTTGCTTGTAAAAATAGTAAACCAAATGAGTCAGTATTGCACCATACCTCTGTATATCTTGTTTTTTTTTTTAAATGAAGTGTTGTCCATATAGTTTGTCAGTAATGGTACTGAGATTCCTTTGAGCTTGTCTCCTGGTCAGATGTATTGGTAAAAAATGGTAAAAATAGTAGGTTCTCAGTATTTAGAAAACAATTTTGAAATACAAATAGTTATAGAATGTTTTGACCTACTTAATCATGTATAGAAGTTGGACAATGGGAACAATGAAAAGAGAACGTGGTATCAGATACGTAGGTGGGACAGCCAGCTTGTTTGAAAATATAAAGCAATGATCAGTTAGTTATTTTCAAACAAGGAAATAGGAAAAATATATGAATACGGAACCAATTTAGCAAGCACTGTTCCTAAAGTATTTGTTTTTACCTACTGTTCATATAATGTATTGTATTTTTCAGCTCAGCATCCTACTTAACTTATAATGCAACACATAATGGAATAAAAATAGATCTTCCATTTATGTTAAATTGCTTTTAATGTCTTTTTTAAATTGTATTTCCAACAAAAATGTCTATGCCTTAACTTTTGGCAAAAAATATATTCTGTAAATACAGAATGAGTATCAAATATATTTACAATTTTCTTTACAGCGTGGATCTGATGAGCTTCTTCCTTCTGGTATCACATACGGGACTCTTACGATGAGCAATCCTACTCCTGCTACTGGTATGATTAAGAATGCATTTTGTGTATGCTCCTATAAATGTTTTCTCAATGAGTTAATGTAGGGACAGATAAGGATGGTTGCAACCATTCCAGTCTATTTATTTTTTTAAAAAAAGCAGTTGGGTTAGAACTATGGGAAAAATGTCTTACCTGCAAGAATAAATCAGTGACCATGTTTGCATGTATCCATTGTTTGTTTATTCCATTATATGAACTGGAAACTCTGGCAAAATATGAGACTGTAGCTTGTTCTTATGTTTTACAAGAGGAACATATCACAGTTCTTTATTTTATGAGATGTTAATCATGGATTGAACTAGCTGGGCTAGTGTAGCAGACAGCTGATCCCATAGAGTGGAAGCCTAGAAGTCTCAAGATCCACTCCCAGAAGTCTCTGAGTCTTCACATCCTGTTTATGTCTCCTGTTTGTGATAGCAGCTTAGTAGTTCCTGCTTTCCCCATCTGCTTTCCAGGGAGCACTTATCTGGCATCTTCTCCCTAACCTCAGTGTATATGAGTCAGAGGACTACCACAGCCTTTAGTGCTTTTCTGGCTATTAGAAGGTAAACAAAGCAAAATTACTTCAATAGTGTAATCTGTGGTCATGTTACATGGAGATATTTGCCTAGAAACTTCAGTTCACATTTCTTTCCTGGGAAGACAGAGCAACAGAGATATTTTTTTTAAAGAAGTAAAATGTAATCCTCCCATTTTCAACTTTTAAGTATGAAAATGCAAATAATTAATGTTTGTAGATATAAATGACACAGTTGTTTATTTCCCAGTGATCCAATTGTCAGCTTGAAAGAAAAATTATAAAAGTGAATACAGTGGTCTCAGCAGACCCCCAGATAGCAATGGTTGCATACAAATGGCATGTTCTCTCTTAAGAGAGGAGATACTGCAGTTTAATATTACAGGGAACAGAAAGATTGTAAATAAAATAATTATCTTCATGCTCACCCTGAAGAATGGGAAGAGGTGAGGATATATACAGAGAAATATAAACACCCAACTTGACTTAATATCACAAAAGTAAAGAATCTAATTGAAATTCCTGGTTAGATCATGGCCAAAATAGCAATTTGCTGAAGCAAAAGTTCATCTTGCTTCATTATTTGAATGTACTGCAGCTTTTGAGGGAGATTCCTCTTTAAGAAGAAGCTGCGAAAGAGATGATGTACCTCAGTTAAATTCAACTTCAGTCCACAGATTCATGGCAAAGTGTTTACCTCCAGTTCTGTTCCTGGTTTAGTAAAAGGACAAGTCTATTTTTTTCCAGCAGAAAAGCAGAGGTAACCAGACTCTATACAGGACCCTGAGCATGCATCTCTTCCAAAAGGGAATGTCTATTGTACATATGAGCCTAGGGAAATGCATATAGGTTTCTGTGCTCACAGCTTGTGCAGGCTACAATCACAAATTACTGGAAGATGGAATGTTGCTTTGAGAATTCTATATACTGAAGTAGTCAGAATTTTGAAGGCACTCAATTTGGGAAAAGTGGCTGTGTTTAACCTTGCAAATTAAATAAGGAGAGAGAAGGAAAGTTGATCCACTTGAACCTTGTTATAATAAAAAGTAAGCATCGGAAAGCATCTTCACATGTAGCAAATACTACATTTTGAATACTCTCTGTTAACCATTTGGAACGTTAAACGTTGACACAAAATGGTTTCTAAAGTTCCTGGTCTGATCCCAGGACAGATTAGCCTGATACCGTCAGACACATGTATAAACCACTTCCAATTATTGTATTTTCTCCTCAGTAATTTGCTAGCCAGTTTCCTAGCAGGTTGAGCAGCAAATAGAGTCATTTTCATTTAAATTGGAGACCTTAGTAATGGCAAGGTATTTCCTGCAAAGACAACCTGTGATTACTGTGCATGTGCCAACTAAGGGATCTGGATTATGCATTTCTGGCAAAAAACTGGACAATGCTATTCTTTTTCAAGATGCACAAAACCTTATCTGTTGGTATAGCCATACTACTGTATATTTTAGCAAATGGCCATAACATTGCTTAATCACAGTTAATTATTTTTTGGTTTTCTCATTCTTAATCACTTTGATTTTTTCCAGCACTGTTATTCCTATTCCTATGTATAAGTCCCCAGGAGACAATCAAATCACTAGATCCTATACTTGTAAATATTTCTGTAGAAGAAGCTACTAGTAGCTGATTCTGCTTTCATAAATCTTCTGACTGTTGGTTCAGTCTCTGTTTGCAAACATGCCAAAACAAAACAAAGTTCAGTGAAATATGCTATGCTGCTTAACTAATCATAACTAGAATTGTAAATTTCTTGTGTTAATTTTTTTCCTATACTAAAGCAAAAAAAAAAGGTGAACAAACAGGAGATTAATTAACAAACAAGGTTCAAGTTACTATTATTGATTCTAGTTAATTTGAACCAATTTTAAATTTTGGAGTTTACACAGCAATCACACTTTGTACTAGGTATACTTTATGTGCTGAAACACTTTGTATATATGTTTTAGCTAATGGGAATGACAACAAGAAATTTAAAGGCGACAGATCTCCCTGCTCACCTTCTCGAGTTCTTCATCTTCGTAAAATTCCAAATGATGTCACTGAAGCAGAAGTAATTTCTCTAGGTGTACCTTTTGGCAAAGTTACTAATCTCTTGATGTTGAAAGGAAAAAGCCAGGTATGTGCAATGTTTCTCATCATATAAACAACCACAGAAAATAAAGTGTATAATAATATGATGCATTTGTCTGATACCTTTGGAATTATTAGTTTTCACTATCACATCAGCAGTGGCACGTAGGTTTCGGCTCAGATATAAGTTAAATATCCTTACTTGAAACTCGGAAATAATTTCTAAATGAAACTTTATCTTTTTTAAAAAAATATCTATTTTACTTTATTTTATTCAATTTGCTGTTGTTATTAGTTGCGAAGTCGTGTCCGACCCATCGCGACCCCATGGACAACGTTCCTCCAGGATTCAATTTGTAGGGCTACTCATCTCAAACAAGTGACTCTGGGCCACGAACGATCATAAATAAAAATCCTAATTATAACTACAATCCTAAAAATTAAATACATACAGCGCCAAGAACAATATTTCAATCTGTAGATATTAACATAACCAGGAAACGGGGCCCTTCATATACATGGGACCCCACACTTGGGCACATTACTGGTTTTTAAGGCATTACAAAAGGCCAAAGGAGTCAGGGCCATCCTAATATCCAGATAGAGAATGTTTCAGAGGGCAGGCACTATAGCAGAAAAGCATGCCTCCTGGTCCCTGCCAGCTGACATTCCTTGACTGACGGGACTTGGAGCATGCTCATCTTGCCAGACTGGATTGGGCGGATAGAAATAATTGAGAGAAGACAGTCCTCAGGTAACTTGGTTCCTGTCTACAGGTAGTCTTCGACTTACAGTCATATTTGAGGCCAAAACTTTGGTTGTAAGTTGTAAGGCGCTCACACATCCATTTTGCTGAACCACAGCAATCCTGATTCTCCTCATTGCAGTCATTAAGCAACTGTAAGGCTGTTATGTGGAGCGCATAGTGCCAGAGTGGTGGAGGTGCTTTGCAAATGAAAAGGTGCTTTGCAAATCATATTAATGCAGGGGTGTCAAACTCGCAACGTCACGTGACACGTCGCAACATATCGTGACTTTTTTTGCCATTACCGGCAATGGGGTAGGCGCGGTTTCGCTATGATGTATCCGGCCCGCAGGCTGGTAGTTTGACACCCCTGTATTAATGTGAATAAAGATCCTTTTTCAAAGCATTGAAGAAATTGCATCTTTTGGAAAGCTCTGTGGTACCTTAAAATTTCTCATTGGTTCTTAGTATTTGCAGTATCTGTAGAGTGCCCAGCTTCTTCAATTTGATGGTAGTCTCAGGCAACCCAATAAAATATCCATGCAAATCTGCTAAAAGATTTAGCTCCTTTAATGTTTGAAAAGGGCAACTTCACCAATGCCTAGAGAACCAAATCTTTCATATGTTTCACACTGCCTTATTTATTTGGAGGAGACTGGATCCTGATTTACACCCAAACATTCGTTTCGATTTTGTGAAAAGGTATCAGTTTTAGCATAATTATTTGATTTTGAAAATGATGCTATATACTCTAGCCCAGTGTTTCTCAACTTTGGCAACTTTGTAAAACATGTGGATTTCAACTTCCAGAATTCTCCACTGGCATGCTGGGGAAATTCTGGAGTTGAAGTCGATATGTTTTAAAGTTGCCAAGGTTGAAAAACACTGTATACCCAATCAAATAAGTGGCAAGAACTTTAAATCTAATTCCAAATTAGG